GGGTTTAGGGTTTAGGGTATATACTCGACTAATGTATGAGTATGAAACCAACGATAGTCTAGCTTAGGGCCTAGGCCTAGTCATCAGTCCCTCGGCCAGTGCGCAGTGGTTGCCAGCACAGGAAGCTGCGGGATAGTGACGTCCATCTGTCACCTCTCAACGAGGCAGAAGCATGGGGCACTCTGGTTCGGGTGTCGTACCCTAAATCCTAAACCCTAAACCCTAAGTGTGGGTGCAGAACCGAGGTTCGAGCCGATCGTATCTTCTGCAGGTCATGGTAGTTGGAGACGTTCTGCTGCTAGCGGTACTCGCAAGGCACTTAACTGTCTGGTGCTTAGTAGGGAATGGGGGAATGGATCCCTATGATAGTCCCTTAAGGTCCCTTGTAGTAGTCCCTATAACCCATTCTCCCATTCCCTACTAAGCACCAGACACTTAAGTGACACTAGCAGTCACTAGCAGCACCAGGAGCTGTAATCTTGAAGGTGCATCTACCACATGAGCTCATGCGGCCTTAACCCTGGGGCCCTAAGCCCTAAATCCTTCAAGCTTTAGGGTAGACATGCGAGCTCATGAGTTGCAGGGACCAGGTAGCCAAAATACCGGCTGCTTAACCGCAGCTTCAGAGGCCTTCAGTGAGGTGTTTGGACCTTCAGCTCGAAGTGCACGTACAAGCATCACACCCTTATACCATGAAAGTTACACATCCGACCCCGGGTACGGGGAACCCTAAACCCACATCACATTTTTATCTCTAGGCTCTCGCAGTGTTTGCCTCTTCCTGCTCTTTCGTTTCGGATGATGGCCGAAACTGCAGACCATCCAGACCGCTGGATCTAGAGGCTTTGTAGGATCTTTCGTGTCAGGGAGGGACAAGGAAAGTGCTTTGGGGTTCAGAGCTTAGGGGTGTCGAGGTTTAGGGCCTAAGGGCACCCGAAGTCACACCCATGTCCCGAGCGACATCTTCCTGCAAAACAGTCGATGCCTCAGGCAGAGGGTGCGGACTTCAACGACGAGCAGGATACTGCTTTCTATTGGTGGAAGAAAACAGGGGCCATGTTAGACTCCGATGCATAGCGTTTTGGGTTTAGAAAGGGATGAAGGCATAATCCTGCCTGACATTCTGACTGTAGCCCATAAACTCTTAACCACCGGCCCACATCAGTCTTCCTTTCAGATGCGTCTAGAATTATCGGCTGGGAGTTTCAACAACTTGCTGCATTTTTCCCTCAGAGTCCCAACATAAAGGAAAGCATCTGCGGGTTCCCGAAAATAGTTGACCCCCAATACAGTACCCTAAATAGTAGGATCCTGCTTGTTATAAGGAGACCAAAATAGGGTACCCCTTCTTTTCGGAAGCTCCAATATTGAGGTATTGTTCCAAACGCCTTTGGCTTTAAAGCCCTTCGGTTCTCTCCGGGTCCCGGACATGCGCACACCTAGGTTTAGGGTTTAGGGTTTAGGGTTCAGGGTTTAGGCCAGAAGTTAAACCAAACGTCGAGTCCCCGAGCTACGCCTGGGCTCCGAACAGCCAAACCCTTCAGATCTCCATGATCCTCATGTACTTAAAGGATCATGGGACTTAGTAAGTAGGGTTATAATTAGGGTAACTATACTTATAACCCCAATTAAGGGACTTATAACCTTACTTACTAAGTCCCATGATCCTCATGTAGGGGCGGTGAGAATTGGAATAGGGTTTTGGGGTACCCCCTTCCTCCTAATCTTGAATCGGGGGTGGGCAATAGCAACTCGGAAAGTGTGTTTAGTATTAGGTGGTATGTTTATCTCTACCGCCACTGTTGAGGGAGTCCTGCTCTTGCTCCTGTTCCGACTCTAGCTCCTGCTTCTGCTGCGTCTCTTGCGCCTGCTCCTGCTGCTTTTGCTGTTGCTCCGGCTTTTGCTGCTCTTGCTCTTGCTTCCGCTATTCCTGTTGCCTTGCTCTTGCTCCTGCTCTTGTTGTTGCTCCCGCTCTTACTCCTGCTCTTGCTCTTGCCTTTTCTCTTGCTCTGAGTCTTACTGTGCTCTGAGGGTCATTTGGAGCCTCGATACCTTCCCCCTTATTCGGAATAGATTTTGAAGGGAAGGGATAATTTCGGGAGGATTGGCCCCAACGTGTTTTTATTGCGAGGGGGGTGTTTAATAAACGGGGGGAGGCATGTTGCTATACGCCAAAACAGTATAGGTAATCATTAAGGCCCCTATGTTAAGCTGCTTTTCGTTGCATGGTCAAGGTTTCATCCAGCAAGAAGGACCCACGGGTTTGTATCGGCTAGCTTCGGACCTGCACCTCTCAGGACCACTCGCAAGACGCGACCGTCCACGGCAAAGAGGCCTCGCCTCCAGTGTGCCGGGTTAGTGCTTACTCTGGGTTTACAGCATCTGGAGTTCGGAGGACTTTTGCTGTGGATTGAAGCTGCTGAACAAAGTCTGATTGAGCTGTTGGCCAGGGTTACTGTGCCGCATAGTAAGCTTGTTTCTGCTGCCGGAGTTTCGCGCAAGCAGTCATATGACAGCTATGCTGGTTCTTGGCTCCATAATGCACCACGCCGCACAAGCCTTCTGAAAAACTCCCGATTGGCAAAATGCTGTCCCTTGGTCCATTAGCATACCCCAATTGCTAAACCGGCAATCTTAAAGGCGCAGAACATGTCTGGAACATAGCCATAAATCAACCCCCGAACCAACCCTACGCACGAAAAAACGTACATTTTAAGCCACCAATTCCTAAATATTAGACCCCCAAAAAACCCACATCCAACACACCTCTGTTGGGGTCCCCCAAAACCCTAAACCCTAAACCCTAAACCCTAAAAGCCCTAAACCCAACACACCTCTGTTGAGGTCCTCAAGGCCAAGCCCTAAACCCTAAACCCTAAACCCCAAAAACCCATACCCAACACACCTCTGCTGAGGTCCTCAAGGCCAAGCAGAAGGTCTCCAAGATGGACACCGGAGAGCCCATGGGCTGGGTCCCCGGCTTTGTGCATCTTCGGAGCGGCTTTAGCAAGAGGTTCCATCCATCCCTTCGGGTTTAGGGTTTAGGGTTTAGGGGTTTAAGGGTTCGGGTTTAGGGTTTAGGGGTTAGGGTTCCATTCATCTATCTATATCTATATCTAAACCTTTAACCCCTAAGCCTTAAAATCCTAAACCCTAAAGCCCTACAAACCTTAAACCATAAACCCCCCAAAACCCAAAGCCCAATCCTAAGCCCTGAAACCCGCACAGCGTTAGCGTCGACTCCTGCAGTTGGAAAGGAGGCCTGCAAAGAAACGAAAACCCCACAAAAAGGGGAAAGCCTACTATAGGGTTTAGGGGTTTAGGGTTTAGGGTTTAGGGCCTGAATCACTACCTATATGATCCTAGGGGTTCCGTATTATAAGTATGGTATTAAGGGCCCCCAAACCCTACTCTAATTATTACGGGCCCTCATATTAGACCCGAAAGCCTAGAGCCTTAAACCCCCCCTTGCCTACCGTAGAAGCCTAGATAGTTACGATGGGTTTCCCCATTATAACCCGTACTAGAAAGGAGCCCAAAACCCCGTTCTAATTATTACGGCCCCTAGATTCAACCCAGGAACCCCAAAAACCCTAAACCCTTAACCCTTGAAGCCCTATAAACCCTCTAAACCCCCTAAACCCCCTCAACCCTAAACCCCCTCAGAGCCCGGAAGAGCAGGAACCCAGGGTTTCGGAAGCTGCCGAGGCTTCACCTCGGCGGGCTGCGATTGCGATCCGCAGGCCCGAAGCTTCCTGAGTTCTGGGTCGAACCAGGGGGGTTTAGGGTTTAGGGGGGGGGGTTCGGAGGCTTTTAGGGCTTTGTAGGGGATTTTAAGATTTTTTAGGGTTTTGGGGCGTTGTAGGGTTTTTTTGGGCTTTAGGGTTTGATAGGGTTTGGGGTTTATGGGGTTTGGGGTTTGAGGGTTTTATCTTAGCAAGGTTTCTGTAGGGTGTTACAGGGCTTCATAGGCGTTTATCGGGTTTTTGGTGGTGTATCACAGCTCTTTTAATAGTAATTGTTCCATAAGGGTTCCATCCGGGCGGGAGGAGGAGGGGTTTTAAATTATTAAGGCCCCTATATCCTTAAACCCTACACCCTAAACCCCTAAACCCCGAAACCCTTAAACCCTTAAGCCCTAAACCCTAAACCTTTGGGCTTGTGAGGTTCAGGCTGGGATGTGGCCTTACTCGCGCGAGGCCGAAAGAGACCGTGACCAGCAGAGCTTAAGGACGCTCTCAACACTTTTTCTTCGTATGTCTTGGCCGCAAAAGAAAGAGCATAGTATTGGGGCCTAAGTAATTACCTACATTATCTTGGGGGTTCCCTATTCTATTTATAGTATCATGGGCCCCAAAACCCTATTCTAATTTTGTAAGGCCCCTGCATTACAGATTCCAGCTGAAGATTTGCAGCGGCGTGCCAGGCGAAGTGTGCTCTTCAAGGCCGATCCTTCACCTGGTGCCGGGTAGGCGCGCAGCAGCCGTTGCCCGACATGCGACGACCTGAACCCCTCAACGAAAAGGTAAGCTGCACCCTAAACTCTATAAACCCTAAACCCTAAACCCTAAACTCTAAAGCTTCAAAACCCGTAGAAATCCTGTGAACCCTAAACCCTAAACCTGAAGCCTTCAAGGGCCATGTCAGCTGCATTCTTGAACCGCCCTTGATCCTAAATCTCAAGCGCGGCAGAGCCTCTAAAGGCTCAAGGCTCGTTTCACTGGTTTGGGGTTTAGGGTTTAGTTAAGGTTTAGGGTTTAGGCTGACTGAAGCTGCATCCCGAACGATATCCCCTCCATAGTCCTCACTTATGCTTTTTGGTTCCTCCCTAAAGGAGGCCTACTCTAAGCAAGAAGAACCCTAGACCCTAAACCCTATATGGGTAGTTGTCAAAATTATGGTCCCTTTTGGGGTATCCTAAGTAATAGGTGCCGTATTATAATAAGTACCCAAAAAGGGACCCTAATTTTGACAACCACCCTATATGATACTCTCCAGCAGATCGCTGTGTGCATGAACTCTAGAGGCCTCAAGGCCAAAAGCTTGGAACCCTTGCTCTGGGTTCCGGGTTTAGGGGTTTAGGGCTTTGAGGGGTTTAGGGTTTGGGTTTAGGGGTTTAGAGTTTAGGGTTTAGGGGTTTAGGGGTTGAGGGGTTTAGGGGTTTAGGGTAGATAAAACTTTAGCCGAAGGTGGCGGCAGTTGCCCGTTGCTTTCCGCGGAAGCCAGGAAGGAGCATCCCAAGGCGGCTTGTTTCGAGTTCGGGGTCTATGGGTGTGTGGGTGTGTGTTTTAGGTTTAGGGCTCATAGGGTTAAGGAGTTTGAGGTTGGCATTACTCCTTAAACCCTAAACCTTAAACCTCCTATCAACCCTGAAGCCTCTGCCTTAAGCCTTCAACCCTACACACATCTGGCTTCAAGTGTTTTCGTCAGAGGCTGGGCTTCAGAGGTCTGGAGAACTTTCGCCGGCAGGGGAGATTCCGCCTGGATGTCCACTGCAATAATGAGGTCTAGGGTTTGGGGGCCGTGGTCCTTAAACCCTAAACCCCATGGCCTGAACCCTTAAGCCTTAAGCCTAAACAGGAGGCTTCTATGTGGTGTCGAAGCACAAGGGGCCACTGTGAGCTTTGAGGTTTGGGGGAAGGCTTACGGTTTAGGCCTGGTTTTGCTCGCGCGGGTCGATCTCCCTCGCAAATCTTTCTTAAAACAATGCCCGGTGGACGTATACCTTGCAACGTTTGCAGCGTCAAAGCACCCCCAAGTCATGAAACCGATATCCACACTCAGGTAAACGTCCAAGTATTTACAGACTTCACCCAGGATGCACAGATTCAGCTACAGACCAAATACAGTAGATACTTACAGCTAATCACACCCTAAACCCTAAGCCCTAATACAGACACTACAAACCCACAAACACACTCCCGCAGGACCAAGGAGTATGCATGCAGAAGGGCCTTGGCATAGGGCCCACTCGCCCCAGTGACCAGGGATATGTGGTGGCATAATACTCGGCGGGGCAATTACTTTAGGGTTTAGGGTTTAGGATTTAGGGCTAAGTTCCGAGACAAGAACACAAAGTTTTGCAAACGCGGTCCTTCTCGTGAAGGACCCTGCGCTGCGCGACCACAACCTGTACAAGTCAGGCGACCTCGTGGCTTCCTTTGTTTGGAGAGGGCATGCTGTGTCCTCCTTCGTCTGTATGCGGTACAGCCTGTTTTAGCCTGACCATCACTTTCAAAGGATCCTGCGTATCTTCTTCGGTAGGGATCTTTGCAGAACCCAGACCCACCCAAACCCAGAACCTTCAAAATCCGGAAATAGACAAACTCCAAGCTATCCAACCCTTTTAAGTTTCTTCGCTCTGGTGGGGCTTCAGAAATCTAGGGTCTCTCTTGGGGTCCTTATGTTGATTATCATGCCAATCCTACTACGTTTATCCCGGATTGTGCATGAGGGTCCCTTATGTTCTACATTTCTACATCCCTCGGGCAGATTCCTGAATCAATGGGTTTGCAATCCCTATGAGGCTGTATAATTCTATTCAACCCTGTGCAGCCCATCGACACCATATACTATAGGGGCCTTCATAACTACCTATACTATTTTTGGGGGTTCCTTCTTATAATTATAGTATAAAAAGGGTGCCAAAACCCTATTCTAATTATTGAGGCCCCCATATTATACCCTAAACCCTAAACCCTAAACCCCCCTCACTCGCATCCTCGGCAGTTGGTCCAGACACCGTCCGAGAGCGAGGCCTTCCCGAATCGGCGCTGTGCTGCCTTGTCCGGGCTGAAAGAGGGGCTTTTGAGGGTTCCTTTGAGGGTTTAGGGTTTAGGGTGTAGGATTCCTTTGATTAAGGGTTTCATAGGGTTTAGGGAGATGCCCTCGGTAGGATCCAAACGGGTGGTTGTCAAAATTAGGTCCCTTTTTGGGTACCCTAAATATTAGGTGCCGTATTATATTACGGACCCAAAAAGGGACCATAATTTTGACAACCACCCATAAACAGGTTCCTTTAACGCCTGGCCGAAACCAGCAGGCTCAATCTCCTTGCAACGGGGGTGTATCTTGAAAAGAGGCAAGTTGGAGCAACGCATCACGCAGACTGCTCGGATTCTTTTGCTTTTATTGCTATTGTTAAGTGAATACACCATGGAAATCAGTATTATCGTTCTTATCATGATGACGATATTTTAGTCATGATTATCAGTAGTATTCTCATGACGATGGTGATGAGTATTGAGATTCTGAAGCCTGAACCTCGGAATTGCCCTAATATCCTGTAAAACTTACAAAGAAGCCCCATTAAAGCCCTTGTCGAACCCAGCTGTCTATTATTTTATTTCTAGAATTCTTACATAATGATGGCCTCAAACAGATCTCGAGATGACATTGGTATTCTTGAGGCCCCAACATGCGCGAAGCCTAAACCCCCAGCCCTCAAGCCCTAAACCCTAAATCCTAAACCCAAAGGCCTCAAATTCAGAAACCCTTAAACTTCAAATAAAAGCCCTAAGCCCTATGTCCCGTATGGCCATGTATTTCCCCATGTCGTCCCAACGTCTCTGCGAGATCTCGAGCGCTCCGGGACCGTCTGGGACTACTGCGAGCCAAAATTGGGCTTGACCAGCGCAGGCCTGCGGCTTTGAGTGAGCTGCTACAGGATTTCATAGTAATAGGGCTCTGTGGATTTCATGCGGTTCGTGCAGGGCTGTACGCTGTTTTTTTGATGCATTAGCTCTGGGCATAGGGATCTGCAATGGAGGGTTCCATGACGGGCTCTATAAAGGGTCAATATAGGGGCCCCAGGAATGTCAGTCGGGCTTTGGCATTTCTTTACTGACTTGAACCATGAAACCAGTGATACTTGTAGCAATAGTGACCAGGCTTAAGGAACTGTATGTCACTCTGTGAAGCCACCTGCGGAATTTCAAGGTTCCCTCTCAACCCAGCAAGCCTGCATCCCAGAGCGAGGCCCTCCTAACACGCAAACCCCAACAGCCCCTAAACCCTAACACGTAAACCCTAAAAGCCTAAACGCCCCTAAACCCCACCATCCCGATGTTTGTTGCCCAGGTGCGGCGCCCCGCACTGCGCATGGCGCGATGTGCGCTTGGCGCGGCGATTTGCTCAGGTGCCAGTGATGATTCAATGGATTCTACGCATTGAATGTATACCCTATTTGAGGTCTCGAAATCTGTACTTGTCGGGCATACTCGTTTCCTTAGTCATCGGTTCCTTAAAAGGTAGGTTTGTTGGGTAAACCCTAAACCCTAAACCCCTAAACTCTAAACCCTAAACCCTAAACCCTAAACCCTTAAACCCGTAAGCCCTAAAC